ATTATAGCTAGGATGAATTCAATTAGCTGATTACTATTAATTTATGCAGCCCCTTTTATTTCTATATTTTATGCCGAAAATTTCAATCCGAATTGGCTTATTGACACTGCTATGCATATTTTTTAAATAAAATTATTTATAGTGCCCTTAATTCTCTTTTGGATTTGCCTACATTCGTACATTTTCGTCTCAAATGCTGATTGTCTTACTCCACATAACTAGTTTGCCTTGTTTTTCTACTGTTTGATTTAACTTTTATAATTTTCTCACTGATGCCCATTCTTTTCCACTTTATACATTTACAAACTGAAATTTTTTGATCCACATTGTGCATTTCAAGCTTCATGGTGGAAAGGTGAGTTGTGGCGGTGGATTGGGGTCGAGAATTGTCCTGTTCCTGATTCAATTAACTCCTCTACTCAATCTCTCCTTCCTAGTCTTCAACAATTACCTGCCTCTCTTCCTCGTTCTCTTCCCTCAACTTCTAGTCTTAATACTACATATTCTTCTTTTCCTTATTGTATTCCTCCTCATTCACCACATCTCTTACCTTCTTCCACCCCAACTCATGGTCGCTCTCTTTCTCCTACTTTGCATTCTTTAGTTTCATCTCATCCTCTACATTCACAACCCTCCACTCTTTTATCACAACTTTCCGCTCCTTCCGTCAATACTTATCGAGTTTTAGCGCCTTCAAATCATCAATCTCATTCACTTTCTGACCAGAAGAGTAATTTAGCTCTTGAGCTAAACAATTCGCGGCCGGGGCTCCGTAGACGCAACTCTAAGTCACAAACTATCTCAAATATGGGAGCTTCCTCCTCAATTGCCGCTACCTTCGGAGTAGCCCACAGGTTAGAAGCAGTTTGGCATCCGATTGATTGGAAGGCGCGTATCTTCGCAGATGAACCCAACAAAGGGACTCTACTCTTAGATTTGGAGTCGGTTCCGGGTGAAATTAGGCAAGGCTGGCCGAGACACGATAACGCCTGGCCACCTGGAGCACGAGTACGCCGACCCTCAGCCACCAGATCAGCTCAAGAGGAAGCCAGAATTTTGCTTACTGGCCTGCTTTCAGGGCAACCGAGCTCTAGCATTAATTTGTCGGCTATGGTTACTAAACACAGGAATAAGTTGACAAGTCGCCTTTCAGATCGTGTCCAGCGAGCGGGAAGTCTGGCTGCAGCTAAGGTGGCCGGTGCGATGGCGTCCCATTGGTCTCGGCCAGACAGTCATGTATCTAGCTCACCAATCGACGCTACCCCAGTCTCTTTGGTTATCAAAAATGTAGCCAGTACTTTGTCAGAAGTTCAGGTCCCAACAGAATGTGAGACCCAGATACCTTCCGCAGTCGCCTCTACCTCTTCCAAGATATCGAACTCGGCTGTTCAACAGCAGTCTGAGAATGGTAGACGGCGTCGTCAACTATCCAGGTCTTCATGTTCCTCAAGGCGACGCCGACACACCAGCTACACCAGCAGTCGTCATGGCGCAGAACTTTCTCTTTCTGGGCCTCTAAATGATGGAAAAGTTGCTCCCAGCACTGGAAAGGGGCGTATTGTAAATGGTGATACAGATAGACGCAGCAGTAGCTGTTATGGGGGCGGGCCGGCCCAAAGAACCAAGAGCAACAGCAGTAGTAGTGAAAGTGATTTTGATGACCATGCCAGTTGGCTCGAACATACCAGTGTTCCAAATTCAGATCAGTTGGCTATGGGCCAATCGCGATGTCGATCTTCAATTAGGTGCAGTCGACAGACAGCTCGTCCAACTACTACTGTCACCTACCTAAATAAGGTTCAACAACCGATGCCCCCACCTTCCTACACATTGCTACCTAATCAACCGATAAACCATGCCCAGCTGCAACCCACAAGCTCCTTAAATGCAAGACTAGGTCCCTTTACCGAAAACATATATTCATCTTCCAAAGCCATGCCCATTTCTCAACCGAATTTAGCCTTTGGCTACATGCCTTCTAGATGTTCGAAACAAATAAGAACAAATGTCGTTGGCAATCCATCACCTAAGGCGATCAGAACTACCACTTCTTCGGCTGATCCACCTTCTCTTGGTACGAGACACATCAACCCTATCAATTCCATCTCAAGTCAGCCCGGTAGTTTTGTTACCTTGCCTAAGGCCTCTGTCCGGCTGCGCCCTAAGCCCCCGGCCCCACCTATTCCGACCCTGTATTCTCCAAATGCTACTCTTCAAATTCTAAGCCCAAGCCTGGATAAGAATATTGACTCAAATTTCTGTCAACCATTGAGCCAAAATATGGGCCTAAACACCAGTTCGAGATCAGGCCTCGTCTCTCGATCCGATCAAAGTCCTTGCACTCTTATCCATTCTCCTCGACTACCCGCAAGTTGCCTGGGCAGCTCTGAAGGTTTACCTTCATCATCTTTGGTTACATCTTTTCCGTTATCCAAGCCCTCAGCAGTTGGGAGACTGGCACTCCGAGACGACTCTTCCTCAGACACCCTGACAGAACAGCAAGATCTGGATTGGACTAGTAAATGCTTCATGTTGATTGCTTTAATCACATTATCCCACCATTTTTCCACCACTCCTTTATTCATTCTCTTTTATTGTCGCTATCATATTTCTGTTCATTCATGTCTTTCCTACTTTACCTTCATTCCTTAATTTAATGACTACTTAAAGTTTCATGCATCTTATATCTCCGTATTTTTAGCCTTTGATGTTGTTTCTCATCTCGTCCTTTTTATATTCCATGTTTTAGAAAACATTAATATTTTTGTTGTCTAATTTTAAGAAAATTTAACTTCTCTTCTCATACATTTTCATCTTGAGAGTGACTATGTAGGCTAGCTAAGGTATTTGTAACTCATCTAACCAATCTAGAACTGCACGCAGACATCATACATAACCCTTGAGTTATTCCTGCTTCCCAAGGGATTGTTCGATTGTCTTATGAGTTAGCTGACTATAGGCGTGAAGTTATCCAATGTATTTTGATCGGCATTGGAGTTCATTAATTTACATTGCATAAACTCAGAAAAAGAAGATTAATTATGCCATTTAATGAATGAGCAAGTGATCGCATTAAATCAAGATTTATTATCACTACAAAATAAGGTAACAATATTGGTTAAATTTTATCACCTTTTTTTGTCCTAGACACACAACAACACACTCGTATATCTCGATATTTGATAATTTCTCCAGCCAAGGGATCACGAAGTAATATCCCCTCCTATTTATGCATACAAGCTAGATTTAAGTGACTAATAATCCGAAGACCAAATCTCTCTTTATTATTCGATTTTTTGTCCTTCATTTATTTTCTTTTATTCCCCGTTTGATAAGTTGCTGGGGGCTTCGCAGATAATTACATTTCTAGATTTACTTTGCATCACAATAGAGCAATAAGTTCTAAACTTTCTTTATTCTTAGACTTTAGGCGTATACGTCACCATATCCGGTTTCTCGAAAGCAGACCGTTTGCTCACTTCAGCTAGTCTGTTCCGCTACTAGCAATAGAGTCTGCTTCTTTAAAGGCTTCTTTTTTGACATGGATAATCTGTTTAAGGTCGGAGGAAGCTAATTTTGCTGAAATTTCAAATGACGAGTTAACCCTTATGGCCAAGATTAGTTTTTGAAAATGATTCCTATTTTCATTACATACATGTCTTAAAAAAATTAGCATCATGACTAATGTGATTGGTATTTTCCATCCGATTTTAGAAGATGAGCTTACTTAATTAACTAGTAGAGTAAATTCCATTCGCCTAGGATTTGCCCTTTTTATTTTTTTCGAAAGCCGTACTTTAATTCCAAAGACAATAATTTCCGAGCCTAAAATTAGAATAAATTGAAATCAATTACACCAAAATTGATTTTATTCTGGCACTTCCTCATGATAATGAGCCATTTTTCCTGATAAGACATAACTTTATGAATACACTGCAACTGCCTTTCGTATGACATTTTTCCTGTAACATTTCTGCTGCAAACACTCTGATTTGGCATAAAGTTTTAGTAGTAATTAGTTGCCTAGCCTTATGTTCCCGTATTATTTTTGGTTTATGTTCTCAAACAGCATTTCTTAAGAAACGAACTCTATTTGTTTAATGGTGGAATGGAAGATATTTATCAAACAGACTCTCTCACTCTAGAATTATGTATGGGAAGCCTCATGTATATAAGCCTTCATGTGAATTATCCTAGGTTTCTACTTTCACTCTAAAAACCCTATATGCCACCTTACACCGACATAGATTCTCTCACCTTTTTAAATGTGATTTTTTTTAACCTCATACTCTTGTAGGTAAGTAATTTTCCTTTAGCTTGGTAGTTTTCTAGGATTTTTGGATACTTAAGGGTTTCCATTTTCTTCAATTTGCCTTACTATTCTATTTATTTTCTGCTACTTTTTGCCTA